TGTCAGATTCAAGGATACGACTGTCCAATGTTGTGTCCTTGCAACATTGCTTATCAACAATTTCCAATTTTCAATTTTCAATTTTCAAATTTTAATTTTAATTTTATTATTTTTTTAGCTGTCAAAAGAGTTTGTTAAGTTTGGAAAATATGCTGGATGAGTACATATCCTTGAAGGAAGAGAAGGTGTCGCTGCATTAAGAAAAGGTTGCGTTGATGCAAGAGAAAAATAGGATTCAGATGCTGTTGCGAGACATGCAAAATGTCATGAACACGTTCAATACTTTTCAGGGGCCACCCCTACTGAATCTTGTAGAGATGAACACAAATCTTGCAATGGTTTCTCAATCCAAAGTTTGTCTAGACACTCCTTTAGGTACATGTTTTTACTCATGTGGTTGAAAAATTGGTCATTGATGGCTTTTTTGTTTTAATTTTTAGATGTCAGATGGGATTCGTTTCAATGTGGTAGTAGCCTTATTTGAATACATTCATAGTGTGAATTAATAGGTTTTATTTTAATTTTGATTTTGAAATTTTTAATTAATATTTGTGGCAGTAATTACTAACTATTAACTTATCTAGTTAATGATCTTCATAGTTTGAATAGAATTAAACTCCCTTGTTCGAGTGCCTATAAAAGTAAGAAAGTGAAGCGAAGGCAAAATCACCACACATCATAATTCTTGTCCTTACTCTTTGTTATTGTTCACAATGAGGAGGCTACTCAATGCCACAAAATTTGAGTCATTGCAAAAAAGAAAGATGACCCATAATCTACTCTCTATCATCATCGATCGTTTTCATTTTCTCTTCGATAACAACTTTTCACTCACTCGCTCCACCTTTCGTAACGAGGCTCGCTCTCTTATTGCCAACGAAGAGGTATGATTTCTTTTTTGCATTTTTTTACAAGAATTGGCCCAATGATGTCATCATTCTAATTCTTATCAATAAAGAAAAAAGAACTATCACAGCCACCAGAATATGACAAAATTTAAAATTATAAGACATGTGGACACGACATACATATAATATATAATATAAATAATATGACAATAACTTATTAAGTCTCGAACAAATGATTATGAGGCATTATAGCCCACAACAACTTTTTTTAAATTATTAATTCTCTTTTCTTGTTTCTATAATTCAAATCAATGTATAAAATAATTTTATGATTATCTGTAAATTTGAATTAATGAAATGAAGTATCAAATGATTTTTCAAATTTTTTAAAAATTTGCAAATTTAATCTATGTATTAAGAACTTTAAATTCAACAGTTGGATCGTTGAAATTTGATGTAGAAGTTATTGAACAAAATAAATCTAGGTAGACTTATTCCTAGAATAAACAAATCTCTTATATATATATATATATATATTGTGTTTGTGTATCTTTATTTTTCTAGGTCGTTCTCATTGGTAAAATGCGCGATAAAAAAAATAAAATTGTTTAAAAAGATTGTTGTAATCTATAACGACATATATTAACTCTAACTACAATTGTTATGACCCACGACGACTTTTGTTGAATAAAATAAATATCACATGTCACATGTCATAAGTGTCACTGTAGCCACAATGACACTATTTAAAATAATTTCAAAGATATAATATATTTCATAACAACCCGATTTACATAAATAATTTCTAAAAAAAGCTTCACAAGATTCAAAAAGCCAAAATATTACTATCACACTTATAAGGTTATTTACATTTGTAATTATACAAGTTCCAAATTAGAAAGCAATCCTAGTTCGTGATTGATGATGAAGATAAATGGTAATTAACAAAGATTGACAATATATTTATTCACAAAAATTTTCATTGCCAACAAATTTGGGAAGTTTTGGTCTCAATGAAATGAAATACGAAGGAAGGAGATGTTGGTAAGGGAGTGTTGAACAAGGTTTTACATTTCGTTGAGTATTGGACGCATCATTCGCAACATATTGATATTGGAGGGGGAGGATCCCATTTTGAACCATTATAATGTTGAGAGCATAAATCACGTGTAACGACCTCAACAGAATATTGACCTCAATAATTTCTTTCTTTTTTTTTTGAAAAATAAAAAAAAAATCGAAATCACAATCAACCCTTTAACTAAGCTTTGCCCTCTGCTAAGAAATCACTACCCACCCATGTCTTTCTTCATTGTTTGAGAGATTTGAACACTGGTTAGTTGCAGATATGTGTGCATGATTGATATTCAAAGAAAAAAAAAAAGAAATTGAGTGAAGGATGAGGCTTCTGTTGGTTTATATGACTCTGGTGTGTGTAAGTTTTGTGATTGGGACAAAAAGTGACATGGGTGTGTGGAATTGTGGAAAAATGAGAATCGTCCAGAAAGTTAAAATTAAATCTGGAAACGAGTGGGATTTTATTTATTATTATTTTTTAAATTGAAGAGAAAAAACACCCTAACAAAGATCAATTACAGAGAAAGAAGTAAAGACTATATGAGTCTGTACAAGAAAGGTAAAACAATATCAAAATCTCAAAAATTATCATTCATTGACATGCCAAATCTTACTAACCTATCAACAACTTGATTTTATAAAGAGTGGGGGTGGGACATTTGGAAGTGGGAAAATAAAAAATTGGATGGAGGGATAAATTAAAAGTTAAAATTTCATAGCTGAGAGAGATGTGGAAAATTTGTGAAGTATAAAATAAGTCTAAAAGCAAATTTTGATATTAATGAATATCTTATAATATAATTGTTTTAAATTAAAATTATTTACATCAAAAATATTTTAGGTTTGACCATAGTTTTTGTTTTTATAAATAATAAATAATGTTATTTTAATACCTATATTTTAAACTGTAATGTTAATTTTTTATGAAGTAATTTAACGATTATAGATTTTTATAGACATGAGGAGTCAATCTAATGTTCTCAAGTTTGATTTCTATTTATATTAAAATAATATTTAGTCAACAGAAATTACGTTTTATAAATATAAATTAATCCTTAATTGTTAATTTCTCAAGTTTGATTTCTATTTATATTAAAATAATATTTAGTCAACAGAAATTACGCTTTATAAATATAAATTAATCCTTAATTGTTAATTTTTAGACATTATGTAGAACATGTCCATGAAAAAAAAATAAAAAATATATTCAACATGTCATCCTTCATTTTTCATTTTTTAGTTGAAACTAGCTATGTCAATTATATTCAACAAAAAGAAAAAAAGCTATGACAATTATAACAATGACTTGTCTTAATTCTCTAGTGCACAATGCAGCACATTGCAAGAAGCTCCTCGCAAAGCAAAACAAAAGTTGCTTATGATCACCAAAACCAAAAGGCAAGAACATTAGTTGTACATAACAAAGCCATAGGATGCATTTGATATGGTCATATTGTTGAGAGCAAACAAGTCAAGAATTATTTAGTGAATAAATTAACAACTCTGTCACGTTGAAGTCCATTATCAACCAAAAAGAATCAATTTTTACTAGCATATACATGACAACAAACAATTTTCTCACTTCAAACCCCTCATGGCGCTGAGAACAATGGTAACACAAGAGCATCAGTATCCATCACTTAAAGGAACTTTGTTGATCAGAAATTGGCACTGAGCAATCTGAATTAATGCTGAGATCCCTCAATGTCTGAACTAATTTTAGAGGTCTTGAATGGCCCTTTAAGCTTGGAGATCTTTGCTGATTACTACTTAGCCTTCCCATCCTACCATTACCAAGCACTTCACTATTAATAGAAGTAACAACTGATAGCTTTTTCTTGCATGGTGAATAGCTATCAGAGTTCATGTCAAAATTCATTCCTGTCCTTGCTCTTGGGGAGCTACTTGATCTTGCTTTTGCTTGTGTTGATTTTGTTGCAGCCATGTATGTAGGAATTGCCGGAGAGCTTGGAAATGAGTGATCTTCTGCCTCTGAAGTTTGGCTTCTGTGGGGCAAAGAGTTCCTTGAAGTAACTGTTGGAGAATCTAATCCTTCAACCTTATTTTGTTTCTGAATATTTCTAAGATTTAGTTGTCTCCTTCCACATTCCTCCCCCCTAGCTCTAGAATAATGTGAGCTGAAAACTGAGTCTAAATCTTCAAGTTCTTTACTCTTGGAAAGTTGGGTGTCTACCCACTGCTCCATCCAGTACCTCCATCTTCCATTTATTTTATTTCTTTCTGATTCAGCTGATCTCTGAAATGTCTTTGTAAATTAGAATGAGAACAATAAGGCCTATTTGATCTAAGAAATGTTTTCTGTTTTTATTTCTTCTTTTAACAAATAACCATAAAATTATCATATTATTTTCACTTTATGTACTATTTTGAAGGATTTTTTTTTTCTTCATAAATATAATTTGTACAATATCTCAAAACTAATAAATTAAAGACTAATCTACATTTATAAGATGTAATTTCTACTAGATAAACAGTATTTTAACATAGATAAAAATCCAACTTAAGAGTACTATGTCGACCTCCCATATCCCATTACAGGCCTTACATCTACTAGACAAATGACTTAGTTACTATTTAAGAAACAGTGAAAACAACAAAACCTTAATTTTACTAATTAATGTAATAGAAATTGCTGGAAATAAAAAACACAATGACCTTTTGAGTAACAACAAATTGTTTTCTCAAACTAATACAAAGCAAAAACTGGTTTAAGAGCTTACCCTGTGGTTAAATGAGTATTCTTTTACTTTCTCTCTCTTAACAAGTGCTTCTTTCTTGCTTATGCAAGAGGCATCTACCTCTTCCTTCAACAAAATGCTGTCATCCCATCTTCTTTCACTGTTTGAGTCCATCTGAAAAATTATAAAAACCATGTTTCAAATTCACAAGGGATAGCAGGTGAGTAAAATCCAATCTTCTTTGGGAGTGAAACTTTTTCTATGTTATTCCTACCCTTATTATCTTGTCTCTAGAGCCTTGCACCTCTTCATGTTCACTACAATCCCATCTTTCTTCAACCATTTGGAGTCTCCTTGCAAAGACCTGTGATTGGATACTCACAATGGACTGCAAGCACTTCAGAGTACTCATAGCTTGGCGTCTCACAGCTCTACCGCGAATGATAGCTTGAAGCTTCACTATTCCCTTCAATGCCCTCAAAGCTTTCCTTGCCTGCAAACTCTCAGAACTCAGTGAAGTTGTGTAAGAAATAAGAATCTAGTAAAGTGACTTCTGTTTCTTATTTTCATCTACCGTAACTAATGCTTGTTTTCCCTTAGTTTTTCTCATTTCTTTTCCACTCTTCGGGGTTAAATTTGCTCAATATGCAATATAAAAATTAAAATCAAGTTTCTGTTTAGAAGTTACCTTGATCTTGATTTTGGGAAATCGCTATTCGGTTAAATTTGTGAAATACGTTACATAAACATTAGTTTCTGTTCCTAACTCACTTCTTGTTTGGGAAATCAATAATTGTTTGAAGAGCTATAGTGAATTAGTATTTACTTACTCTCGCAGGTTCTCAATATATGAAAAAAAAAATGTTTATTTGTCTCATATATAGGTAAATATCATCTAGATTTACTCGATTTTCTCGGTTAAATGTTACCATCTTCTAAATATTTTGTCATTTAATTGAGATTGTTATTCTTAATATCAAGTTTCAAAAATTAGGAAATTATATTATTTTTAAATGAGATTTATGCAATTAAATGATATATTAGCTTACTTTTTTAATGTAAATTATTTTTTTTCTTATATTCAGAAATCGGAAGGAGTATTTTCTAACAAAGTTTTAGTTCTGAAACTTAGTTGAGCTTTAGTTGTGTATCTTTAATTTGGCTACTCAAATTAACTGAACCTATCGGTGATCAGTGATTAGTGATCAGTGATCACTTTGCTAATTGAACAAGGTGAAAAAAGGGTTTAAGCTTCATATGTGTAAATGAGACAAGTGATGAGAGAGATTGGACAAACTCACTAGGTAACTTCTAAATGCTGTTTGAATTTTGATGGCCGAAGACTCTTCAATCTGCCTCTGGCATTGGTATGTGGAATGGGGAACATCATGGCTTGTTTTAACAGGCTGAAGTTGTTCTTGTTTTTCTCTAAGTTGTTGATGAGTAGATTGGAGCCTAACAACCTCAACAGCAACCTGAGCAGCAGTAATAGCAGCTTCAGCAGCAGCAGCTGAAGCAATGGCCACTGATAAAGCATGCTTGCTTTGTTCTTCCTCAGCTTCACTTAGTCTTGTTTCTTTTGATGGTGGTGGAGCTGTAATTGAAGGCAATCTCTTCTTGGTCTTTACCCTTCCAAATATCCAACTCCTTCTTTTCTCCTTCTGAAAACAGGTTTATGTCTCATGACTCGTGATCATCAGAATATTGCTTAAAAAGAATTAGTCATAGAAGAACACTTACCTTCTCTTGTGAGGAATATGTGTCCCATAGAAAGAGCTTCTTAAACATGATAAACCAGCCCTTCTTAGCCATTTAACAATAACACATGGACCAAGTTCAGTTTCTATGATCTGAAAAAAATGCTCATAAGAATCTTCTCTTAAGACACAGATATCTTGGTTTCAGAGTATCTAATGGTCCCAAGGAAACCTAAACACTAGACTTGTCCGAAAAAGAAGGAACAATTTGCAGACTTTGTCATAGAAGTAGCTTCTTATAGGCACAATTTGGACTTTGTTACAACTTGCAAAGACCAAAATGTGCACATTAATGAAAACTTTGCTTTCAGAGTAATTTTAACATTAATGCGCACAACTCAAGACAGTTAAAAAAGAAAAAATGATGAATGTGATGCAAATTGAGTGTGATCCAACATACCCGTAAATTACTTACCCATCTTATGAAATCCTTTAAAAATGACAAGAATCACCGTTTAAGAGAACTAGAAGCTTGGAAAATGGGATAGCTTTGAAATCAGCAAACATTCTTTATAATATAGTATGATTAGTATCAGATACCCAAGGATGGGAACTTTGGATAGGTTTCACAAATGTGCACGAATATCGAGATTTTTATGTAGAGTATTATTTTTCCTGAATAGTTACAAATCACAAGCATTCAACTTTTGGAGAAGTGGATATGATTTTTATGTGGGTCCAGCTGCAATCATTTCCCATTTTTCCTCAATTCTCATGCATGAAAGCATTCCACAGGAAAGAAACAGACCCACTTTGCTTTCATTAAGAAGGCCAGTGATTAAATAATAATTAGCAGTTTCGTGGGTCCTCTTCCAATTTTTCCAACTGGCACATGATCATATGCATGTTGAGTGTGTACAATAATAGTGAAATGGCAAAACTATCCCCCACTCGTGTAATGTCATGGATTTTGAAAAACATAGTGATCCACAACTATGATGTATTTATAAAACACTAAATAATTACTTATAGAGATTACAAAGTGTGTACGGATCTTGAATTCGTGCTTTCTATCTCAATTAGATTCGCAAACAATAAAATAAGGGGGGAATTTCTCTTTGGCGATTAGAATTTTCAACATTGTTGTGCATCACAAAAATGTGTAACGAAACAACAGTTTAGTAGCCTTAAGAAAAAGTGAGGATCCTTCATTTAGCCAAGAACTCAAGCCACCATAAGTTTATTTAGATCACAAGTTTAAATAATAAATAACTATCATTATAATTTTTTTATCCATCATAATTATAATTACGACTATATACATGTATTCTATTCCAACATCTCTTACGACCTAATAATTCCATATTTATTATTATGATTAAAATAGCATACTGATATCATATTTAATTAATAGTGTTTAACAATAAAAAAATATGGTTTGAATTTTGATAATTTAAATTCAAATTTTGTATATAGAAAAAATACCGATAAAAAGAAAAATTCTACTACTAATAATTAATCACAATTTTTGACAGATATTAATTATATGTTAAGTAATATTAACAATATGAAGTAAGAAAATAATTTTATAATTAAATAATCTTTAAAAAAATTGTCCAACATGCATATTCTAATCAAGTCATAGGAAGCAACATCAACATTTCATTATAATAATAGGATTGTGAATGTACTCAGGGTGGTCTGGTCTACCATGGATAACAACTACTATCTGCCAGTTGAAACAGAGACCCATGAGTATGGCATTTCCTTGAACCAGCTTTGATTTCATATGGCATTGCACCAAAAGTCAAATTTTTATTATTATTATAAATATATAAAAGAGGAAACCAATGCTCACTTGGACCAGCACTCTGCAAAGGTAGGTAACAATTAGATGTGTGCAGAGCTGTCACATCAACAATTGTATGTATATTCTGGTAACTTAATGCGTTAGTGTTACAATGTTATACAAGCATAAGGAGACATGGTGAGGGACAAGTGGAGGGAAAAAGGACATAATTTAACATGTGTGGACACCTAATATGCAATGGACCGACTAACACATGAAACAATTTCTGCGAAATTATTCGAGTTTAATATGTTCTTTAGTTTGAGTTTTAGATAAGTAATCGTTTTAATGGCAAAATGTTCAATGGAAAAGTTTTATGTTCCATAGTAGTTCTATCAACTTGTATAGAATTGACTCTAATAAAAAATACATATAATTATATGATAATAAAATGCTTTTTTTTTTTTTTTTTAGTTTCTAAAATGTATTGCTTTTTGTTTTGTAGTCTCTAAAATATTCTTGCTTGATTTTTGGTCAAAAACAATTACAAAAACAAAGATTTAAGTATTTTTTTTCAAAAAGCTAAAAATAAAAAACAAGTATATTTCATATTAAAAATATATATTTAAGCCTAATATAAAAAGGGCATAAAATGTGAGAAGATTTGGGTTATATGGAGTGAAGACAGCTGTAAAAGGAGGCAAAGAGAGGAAGTGTGATAATAGTAATACATTCTCTCATATCTCATCTTTTAATAAAGAGTGAAGTGAGGGTTTGGTCGGGTGTTTTAAAACCAAAAGCACAGACTTTGTCATGCTGTAGTTTACTTTAAAATGACTTCTCAGGGTTGAATCCTTTGAATGAAAAAGATGTTTGTCCACTCATAAATAGACTACACAAGCAAGGTTTGGTTAACTTTGTCAATCAGGACCTACTCTCAATCATACATTGGACCTTCATGGGGAAACAATTTTCAAGCAAATTTTGGATCATTTATTATTGAAACTATTTTCAGACTGTTCAATTGAATCATCACCATGAGGTTAAACCACCCATCAATAATGATGAATAGGTAAAGTTGTCTCTAGTGTAATCAATGCCACATTCCGATTCTTGCGGGAAATAAAGTTTTGTTAGTTTTGGTGTTACCGAGGTAAATTAAGAAGTGAATATAATGGTGTTTGATTTCATGATTCTCAATATATCATTAATTTCTTATTTAATAGTTTTATAGGTGTCATTTTATATCTATTATTTTTTTAAAAGAACCTTTTATTAGTTTAGTTATTGTGCCTTTAATTATTTGATTGATTTTTAAATTAAATAAAACTCATAATTTATTATTATCCAAGCTTTAATAAAACAACCGAGGCTTTTAAAATATGGAATAAAGTGAAAATAGTGGTGTGATTTTATAATTATTTAACTAAATTAAAAATAATTTACGGTTGATAGTTATATTAAATAAGTGAAACAATTATATTAAATACGTGGTTTACAAATGAATTTAGAGAGTGTCTAGAAAATCATTTTTTTAACAAAAACGTGAAAATACACTTTTCAAAGTATTAAAATATAAAGTAATTATTTTTATCTTTTTCGTTCAACAACGTATGTTTGCAAAATTTTAACAATAAAATAAACACACACTTAACGGTTGATAGCTACATAAAATATAAGGTAGGTAAATGAAAATGAAACATAATTATAAGTAAATATTTAATATGATCTTTAAAATATGGTAATATAGTTGATAAGTAGGGAAGAGAATAAGTTAAGCTTTAAATAGGAGGTTTATGACATGATATATTTAAAGTTTGGTCTGATCTAACTTATTTAATAAAAATGTCATATTTAAATTTTTACAAAAATCTATTTATTTAAAAAAAATAGGATTTAGGCTTATAAAAAAGTTTGTTTGTCTTGATAAATCAATCTATTTATCTATATTATATAATAAAAATAATATATATATATATATATTACATTTTAATAATATATTTAAACAAATAAATTTGTAATATAAAAAAATTATTAATATTTTTACATTTTTACTATACTTAAATAATTTACATTCTTTATTTATACAAGAAGTTGAAAATAAAATATCTAGCAGTTGCATCTTCACATGCTCTTTTATTACATCTTCATAATTAACTATTTAGAATATTTCAAAGGGGATATAAAAAATATTTAAATTTTTTAATAATATGTTCTTATTTTCATTACAGTCTGTTCGTGAGTATACATAGGCATTGTAGATACCCAATTTCGTCCGGAAAAATACAAACAACAAGATAGGACATCAGAAGGCCCAAAAACCCAAATCAACTATTTTTAGTGGCCCGCGGGCTGTTCCAAATTCAGAACAGGTCGTTCTTGAATTGGAACGGGCCGCCCCGAGACTCCTAAGAAGGCCTAAAAATGTAGGTTGAAACACACCGTTCCAGACCAGAACAGGCCGTTCCAAACCAATCAAAGGGCCTAAAATTTGTACCCCGGAACGGGCCGTTTTCATTTCAGAACGGGCTGTTCTAGTTCCCAGAACGGGCTGTTCTAGGGTGAAAAAATAATATATAACGTTTGGATCCGGAACGGGCCGTTCTGAATCCAGAACGAGCTGTTTCGGCCCACGTCTGATGCCTATAAATAGAAATCTCGGCCACAGTTCTGAGGACCCCAAAAATTTCGTCCAAGACTCCTTAGAGCACGAAATTTCTCTCTCTCTCCTATTGTATTTCTTGAGATTTTTGAGGCATATTGTGGTGTGAAAGGTTGCCATAAAGCACCTTCTCCATATTTGAGCTAAACCAGATCAAAAAAACAGTTGATTTTCTTTACAAAAATTATGAAAATCAAAACAAAAATTCTCATTATGAAGAAGGCCAATCTAGTGGCTTGATGGCTTTACAAAACAAAGATTGTATACCAATCATTTGTAATAAAAACCCTAACACTAGTCTTCATATTTTACTAAAAATCAATTTTCCAAAAATTGATAAACAAGACAAAACTGAAATGGTTATCCAAGCCCTTGTTGATACAGGAGCATCTTTCACATGTTTATGCGAAAGTATTGTTCCAAAACAAAATATTTTTCAAAGTGAAAAAACTACAAAGACAAGAACAATGTCAGGAGATATCATCATCAACAATAAAGAAACAAAGAATTTCACAATTCAGCTTTCTACAAACTGTGATATTTTTGGTTCAAAAATATTTATGACAAAAGCATACGTTATTAATCTTCGCCCTGCTAATGAAAAAATGATTTTAGGCCTTGATTTTATAATCGCAAAAAATAGGTCTATAACAATAACAAAAGATTACTTGATTATTTCTAATCAAGCACAAATGTCACCAATCTTAGACGAACTTTCATCAGAGTTGCGAACTGAGCGTGGTGATACCCCTCAAAAAACTACTAAATCGTCCAAAAGTCAGTTTTCATCTGATCAAGGGAGTTACTTATCATCTTTTATGTACCAAACGAATGCAACAAAACATGTGTCAACATTATGAAATTCTAAAATAGCTTTAACTAACCCTTTCTATAATTACATGGATCCACTTGTCCTATTTCTGACGCAAAATATGTCTTTATTCCTTTTTAACATATATGAGTTCTAAGGAAGCTTTTAAGGTTCGATCTATTAAGGAAACATTCAAACACACAACTTCATTGTTAAAAATCATAAATGACATAGAGTAAATGCTAGTCTATGAGACAATATGTTTCGTTTGGTTTAATAACATCTTATTACGGCTATCACTTTACACTTCATCTAATAAAAAAATACATTTATCTTATAAAAAAAAAAAATTCTATTTGTTATCA